CATTGACACAAACACACAACTTCAAAAGCTTAGAAACCTGTGTGTACTGTATTTTGTTTAAAAAACGTTTTATTTAAATCGCCTTTTCCCGAACCTACATTTTATTGGGGATCTATCAGACATCCTGAATGTTGAATGTCTCAAGCTGGAGCTTCCAAATCAATCACCATACTCTTACGGTTGCAATACGGTTGTTATGGAAACATAAAATAATTTAAATTAAAGGCAAGCCCGTTTCTGCCTCTTGTTTTTTTGGTCATGGGTTGAAAAACTGCGAGTTATGGAGAGCCCAGCGAGCAACAGACCATGAGACAGCTGAAGCAACACTCGCAGAGATGTTATCACTGAGCCTCATTAGGCCTGCTGGTGGAAATTGCTCAAGTGATACTGACCCGCCAGTGTTATCCACTGAGAAATAGCACGGAGACTTTCTTCTGAACCCTTGGGAGGGTCAAACAATAAACACTTCATAACATGCCGACATGTCCTCTAATGTCCGCACCTGACCATTGCTGTCACACAGCTCTGTGACCCACAGATAACTCGCTCCGAATTATTGATTACATCACCCAAATATCGCAGGCCAAAGTGACGTTGCGACTTGGGAAATGACCAAATACGTCCCTTCTTCGTTTACAACACTGAAATGTAGATTTTAAAGGATTTTCCAAGGTTCCACAATAGATATCAAAGATATCTCAATTAAAGCTACTTTTAATACTCTGCTACTGTCACCCAAAACTATAATAATCATGGTTACGATGGGCGAATCCTACTTAAGCTGAAAAGAAAAAAAAACTTATTTCCGTTTAAAGAATTATTCTACCGTTGATCACAGGGACATTTTCAGAACATACGGTGACACACAAACCACATGACAAAAGTGGTAGTCCCACTACAGGGAAGTACATTTAAAACCGAAACCCAAAGCTCTGTCGGATTCTGGATCAAGCTACTCAACCATGCTGTTGAAGACGATTCCTTGGTTATTATTAAGGTTACCTGAGATCGTTGGATCAATTATTAGATCATAACAAGCACAACGGGCTAGATGGGTCCAACGGCCTCCACCTGTTGTACATTTTCTTATATAAACGATTAGAATAACAGTTACTAACGAGAGCCTATTCTACTAAGCAAGCATTGTTTTCAATTTTGTGAGATAATCTTGTCCAGTGAGAGACTTAAAGTTAAATATTTCAAGAAAATACTTGTGTTGCACTCATCTTTCTGCTTGCCTTCGAAGTTGACGTTCTTAGTTAAAAAAAACTAAATTGAGCATTATGCTTTATGAACGCATTAAGTGCGTACTTTTCCACCGGTTTAGCGGTTATTAGGTCGTTGTTATCAGTGGTGTGGAGTATTTACGACCCTGAAGAAAAATGATTCCTTAACGAAAGCAGGAAAATATTGTCAGATTACATCTAGTCCTGTCTCTTTCTAGCTAAAAATGACTCCAGTAAACTGGTCAACAGATATTTCAGAACAGTACAAATTACCTTATCATGTCATCACTAATTGCTAAACCCGCACTGCATTTTAATTGGTTAGTCATCTTCGCTACTATTAAAAAAATAAATTAAAAGGAAGCCAAAAAGTCGAGAATTTAGGCATTACAATTTGAAGATGTTAGTTCACTAAATTAATGTCCCATATATATTTATGAATGCTGTCCTGCAAATAAACATTTAAGTAATGTATGTATTGTTTACGTAATGTGTACTGAAAACTATGATGTTGCAGAAATAACAGTAATATTGTAATACTACCTCGCATCACTGTACCAAAGAGTCTAGGACAGATAATGGACTGTTTCGTGACCTTGACCAATCGGCATTACTCATAAGTTGTTTTTACGGTAACAACCTTCAGTAAGTTCACGAGGAAGGACGATAAAACATGTCCCTCTTTAAGAGGCTATTTTCTTCGTTGTAAAAGGCCTGTGGTACGCAGCTATTGAGCGCAGGTCCAGCGCCTTGGCAAGTGGCGTTTAGACTCACGAGTAATAGTGTTTGTGAGCTTCACACCCCCTCTGCAGTGCTGTGGAGAAGGAGAGAAGGAAATCGTGGAGCGGATTACGGAAGGGGTAGGGTGTGAGGGCGGAGAATGACGAAAGCGGGTGCAAAACAGGAAAGTTGGGATTTTCTAAGTTATTTAATAGCCTTCATAGCAAACTTTAACTCAGATCAGTATCATCGGTCGCTTAAGAGGCGCAAATGCCCGTGGAGAATAAAACAAAAGCCAATTGACCAATATTCAATCTACATGTAGCAAAGGGCGGCACGATGGCACACTGGTTAGTATTGCTGCCTCGAAGCGCCGGGTCCTTGGGTTCAGTTCCTGGGGTGCTGTCTGCGTGGAGTTTGTACGTCCTCCACGTGTTTGCGTGGGTTTAGTTCCAGTGCTCCGATTTTCTCTTAAAGTCCGCACATACGGTGGCTCCGCGGCTAAGGATCTGCGCCTGTGGCTGGAAGGTTGCTGGTTCAAATCCCGTGGCCGGCAGAGGAATTCTACTACGTTGGGAACCTGAGCAAGGCCCTTTACCCCTGCTGCTCCAGGTGTGCTGTGCAATGGCTGACCCTGTGCTCTGACCTGAAGCTTCTCTGTCTGTGTGTCTCATACAAAAAGACAAGTTCCTTATGCAAGAAAATTTTATGTGGTCAATAAAGTGATCTTATCTTATACTGGTAGGTAGAAGGTTGGCCTCTGTAAAAATGAGTCCTGGTGTGAGTGCGTGCATGTCTGTGTCTGTGTGTCTACTCTGCTCCGTCCATGCAGCACCCTGCCTCGCTCCTGTTTCAGGTCCGTCAACCCTGTTCTGGATAAGGGGATTCGACAAATAATGGATGTGTGGATATTGAATATAAAAATAAAAAGATGCATGACGTTATCTCTGGTTTAAAACATCTTAAAGTGTGCCTATTTGGAAGTCTGTCCCTTACCGAACCAGACTGGGATTCATTCAATATATAGATGACAGACATGGATAGATTTAAACTCGTCTTTGACACAACAGCGTTGACGCCAAGTGAATATTCGTGAGGGGATGGTATCGTTCCGTAGTGACGGTTCCTGTTGTACTTCGCGGTGGATTTCCGTTTTATTTCACACGACTGTCACAAATTCCCACTGTAGCTAGACATGCACTCTTGTTTTACGCTACTCCTAAACTGTACTCGTACAATATGTGTGTACTCAGGTGTACCGCGTCCCGTCCAGGGTGCAGTCTTGCCTGGCGCCCAGTGTTTCTGGGATACACTTCGGGCTCCATTCGGGATAAAATGAATGGATGGGAATGCCGCAATACGTCTCGACAGCCCAGAGAGCATGCGGGTCTGAGTCTGCATGGAAAAATCCAGAGAAGTTTTGAGAGAGGTGCAGCACTGCATCCGAGATGGATCACAACGACGTGATCCACTCAAGACGCCTCCTCAGTACAAATACGTCGAGCCTTCGACTGCATATGTGTACAGCCTTTTCTCTGAAGTCGCTAATTAATTAATGGTAAAACATGAAAGTAAGGATTCAACACCGTTAAAAAGGCGTCAGGAATTGCCAACAAGTAATAATAATTTAACTGAAGAACATCTGGAACATAAATCATCGGTATGCTTAACACGAATTACAGCATTTAACTGAATTAATTAAAGTGTGATGTTATTGCCAACAAAAGGCTACAATTGTTATTTTTATCAAGACAAGCGATTAACCGATTAATTTAGTAATCTCTGTTCTTCTGTGCCCAAAATTAACTAGTACGTCTCGATTGTTCTCAACTGTCAATTCTTTCAAAACTAGTTTAAAAATAGCTCGTTTTTTTCTCCGTGCTTTAAAGGTTTGATGAAAATGCTCTTTCGGTAGATGAACGATTTTCGTTTAGTAGAAGCTGGGAATTGGTGTGTGTACAAAATATTTCGCTATTAAATTGGACTGCATCTACGACATAGACGTGTAAATCCTTTGAGATACATTCACAGCTCGAACCGTTAGACAGCCCTGCCAGCTGGGTGAAATACGGCAAAGCAAAACAGAATTTGTTAAATGCCAACAGCACTAGTAATGGAAATAGTCTAGTCGTAGAAAACAACAATAGTAACTTGAAGGAATTAGTCTATTGAATAACGTGTCCTTTGTGACCAGCTTGGACATCTCAGTACCACTGCAGGTTCCCTGATACCAAATTGTCATTTAGATGTACTACTTCTAATTTATTATTAATCAGGCAGATGCTTATATGCGACATTTGTGCCCATTTACGCAGCTGGGAATTTTACCAGAATATATTAAAATAATCTTATCATATAGTAGGTATCATACTTTATACCTAATTACATCTTATGTTAATATCCATTTATTCAAATTCCTTTATTCAGAAATACAACTTGAATTATTTGTAACGCCTTGGCTTGTGTAGTTAAATCGCAGTAGCCAAAGGATAACCTCCAGTAACTCAAAATGTAACTAAATTGCATTATTTATTCAAAACGAGTGCGGACATAACCTTCCTAAATAACCTCGAATGACTGAACTCCATACAAATCAACTCAAATATACGTCTCCTTTTCTTATCCCGTCTAGTTTTCTTCCTCATTTAAAATCTTCTAATGTTGGAGACACCTCTTAAAGACGATTGAAATAGGAAATCTACTTCTCTGACTGCAGTAAGATTATTTGTAATAGGCGGTGCCATCAAATCCCGCATTCAATTTCAGATCTGTCACCCTTAAGACAGACCATGTACTTTACAGGTGGCGTTAGTAATTGGGATTTATACGTCATTTCTGCTTTTGAAATACGTAAAACAAAGTCGAGCTTTTTCTCCATACCAGGTGCTTAATTTAGATTGTATTCCTTCTCGCGTGAGCCGCCTCGAGCGCTACGAAGTCTCTGCAGAGGCTCCAGTCCGTCTTTCTAGGCGATCCATGTCTCCAGGTGCCCCTTCCAACCTTTCGGGCAGGTGTGGTTGTCCAATCAGATTGCCCCCGCCAGGTACCGGCGTGTTTCACTCAAATCCCAGCCGCTCGCGATCCTCAGTAGTCTCAGCCGAATCTGTCGCACTTGGCCACAGCAGCACAGGCAAGACGAATGGATACTCATCTTTCCTGTTGGTGTTTGGGATATTAGCTCTCCGTTGCGCCCTGACTGTACCGTCTTATTCTTTTTGTCTGTTTTCGTCTTCCTCCCCCCCCACCCTCCCCTTTTTGGATTGCAATAGTTTGGCGTACGGACACCCGACCGTTTTCGGACCTCACTCTGAACTGTCTCACCATGTTTCCGCCTGCAGCGAAGCGCTGTTTCACAATCGAGTCCTTGGTGGCCAAGGAAAGTCCTCTGACCGCCGAGGAACCCATCAGACCCACAGCTCTCAGCTACTCCAACCCAACAGATGCCTTCATGACGGGGTTCCAGGGCCAGGCGGGCAGGTCCCTGTACTCTGGTCCGGAGCTGGTCTTCCCCGAGACGGTGAACCACCCGTCTTTGACTGTGCACCCCCACCAGCTCGGGTCTTCGCATCTGCAGCACCCGCACTCGTTCTTCGGAACCCAGCACCGCGATCCCATTAACTTTTACCCTTGGGTTTTACGGAACCGATTTTTCGGACACAGATTTCAAGGTAAATGCTAAGAGCACTTTTCATTTTCGCGTGCAGCACGTTGTGCATGCGACCGTGAATAGGACCAGCAAACTTTAAGGAATTCGGCAAAATCGTAACGGAGTGACTATTTAGAATAAAAGCGCCTTCTCTAAATGCATTGCTATTTGATTTGCAGTCCCATAATTACCAGGCGGCAAGGAAAAGTCGCCTAACCGTCGCTGTCGGGCAGGGGGCTATGTTAATATGGCCTTGAGTGATGGTTTAGTATTCAGTCGGCATCGATAATGACACGTTATGTGACAGTAACAATTATGTTAACTGCAAAAGCAGTACAAATCGTAAATTTCTGTTGTGCGTGATTAAATTGATTTATAAAAGTATAATTAGCATGAAACATAAAACGTTTATCTCTCAGGTGTATTGATAAACTTTGATACATGGGTTAAACATGGGTTAATGTATCTAAAAGATCAATATAATTGATTCCTTGAAATTATTGTCTAATTATTAATATGTAACTAATAAGTGGATTAAATTATTGATATATCCACTTAGTCACGGCCCTGAAATTATATTGACCTAACTAGAAACAATTTACTTTTACCATTAGAAATTAAACATTAGTGAATAATAAGCAATGAATCCGCATTATTTTAGCTTTATAAAATCATGTATCTATAACAGCTTGTGTATATAACTACATGGTGTACATAACTGAGTACATGTGGAGAAAATAGACATGATACATGATGCATACACATGATATGTCAAAATGAATTATTTTGAGTCGGAACACTTTCTACAATATTTTTAGTTTGGATTTCTGTAATTACACTTCATTAAATAAAATATATTCATTTGTTTATATATGATTACGGTAATATTTATGTTTTTCTAATTCATGTACAATCATACTTCGGTGTAAATGTGACATATAGGGTATTTGGTTAAAAACATACGAGTTCTAAGTACAAATAAACAAAACAGTGAGCAGATACTTGGTAACTCTTGCTTCAAAAGTTGATAATCCTACAACTAATATTTGCAGCTGTAAAACTAAATAAAACAATATTGCCAACACTGGATGTAATTCGGCTACCACAGATTTGTAAATTAAACAGTTCGTGCAAGAAAGTTAAACTATGTTAAAGGAGTAAAGGGGAATATACTTCACATTTCCACAGATTAACGTACTTCAAAACATAGCGACATTAAAGAGTGCTTCTTTTTACCAACTCTTTTACTCGATTCATTTTTATTTAAGGCTCTGTTTGTTCCTCTGGTGTTTGTGCAAGTGCCCGGCTTTTGGAAGCCTGTAAGAGTATTCTTCTCCTGAAGCGCTGCTCCTTCTCATTACAGAGTTCAGAATGCAAATCCTCATCAGGCATTCCTTTCAATGAACTCCACCGAGTGAAGGGAGCGGGGCTGAGGGGGGGAAGCGTGGAGAAAAAGAATAAAAAAGATCATCAAAGGATGCCTTTGTCCTTGGAGGGAAGAGAAAGATTAAGTTATCTTCTCGACAGCAAATTTTCTCGCTTTGCTCCCGGCGACGCCTGCACAGGCAACGGGCTCGTGTACCTCAGATAGCTGAAATTGTTCTGTGTCACTGGCGGTGCTGAGACCAGCCGATTACTGGAAAACGGCGATCAGCAAGCGGGCATCAGCCTCGCCTTCCTCCCGGCACGCTGACGGCCTCCTGCCTGTGAAATTACCCCCTCGCCGTTTACACAATTTTGCTTTGTTTTTGGGCGTGCGATAAGGAGTTCTACACCATTATTTGAATAGCAAAAAGCTCAAGGATAGTGCCACGGTTATAAGAAACGTCGCAGTGTAGTTTGTTACATTCTAATGAATTATTTCAACACACCACAGTACAAAATCATCAACACACAACAATAATGGAGTTGTAGATCTGTCGTGCGGGGAATGTATCCTCAAAACTGTGATGTTTCCGTTTTAATACGAGGCTGTGTTGTTGACGATAGTTTTTTTTTTGGCGGGGTTCGGGGCTAAACCCGTAATTTAGAATTACTGTAGGTGTATTGAGTTTTTGGAACTTTTGAAAGTATCTTGTGTTTCAGAGTGTGCACAAACGCAATTAAACAAGTTAACACATTTCTGCAATGCTCTTCATCGTCCTGTTGAATAATAATAGTCTTTAGCCTGCATTGCAAAATAAATGGGTTTACTATAATTTTTGTGTGACTACAGTCCAGTAAGAGCTGTTCTGATAACATTTATTTCGCAGTTATGAATGAAAAATAAAACACTAGTTAAAATCTTAATGACATTTCCCGTTAGAAGTAAAAATCGATTGACCTCGCCAAAGACCCATAAACGAACACCATCTAAAATAAATTTAACCGCAAATGTAAGTGTAGGCTTTTAGCAACCTACAAAATAGTTTTCTTTCAGTTGCCTTGATGGAATGTTCTGATGTAATTCAAACACGGAGATGGGCATGAGAGAAATGTTTGCATATTCTGAGATTCCAATAATTAATTGCTAAAGTAGTAATGATAATATCCGATTTCTAAATGTTATTTGAATTTAATGTCTTTCAAGAAGAACAATGCTTATTTAGATTGTTAGTGGTTTTCACAATATGTACGCCTGTCTACAGAACTGGGTTACCCCTGTTTTTTTTATTATCTGAGGCTACACGGGCCATTCAGGACAATGAGGCCTTGTCAATTAACCTTTCAGACGGCAGATTGTCAAAACTGGTTGAACAAATTGTTTTGTTTGCAGGTGAAGAAAGCAGCTGCAGATATAGCCTGCAGTCAGTGCTATTCAGTAGTGTATGGCCTGACTGGGGCTTCTTCACAACTCTTGAGAAAAATCAGTTCAGATTTAACAGACAGATTCTCCCTTCCCCAACAATTCAGCTTTGTCTAAGTAACTCGCAATCTTCTATTTTTACTTTAAGTTTAAGGGCTGAAGGGACCAGTTCTCTCATTCGTTAAACAGTGATTAACAAAGAGAACTGATGTCTTTGAACACGACTACCTTATACAAAAGTAAATTGTATTAGAAAATAACCAGATGTAACCGACTTCAAGCGCTTACAGTACGGTTAGGCCTGCGGTTCGTTTGCGACCATTCGTAAATCCATACACTAAAAGAACCAGGCATATATTATCAACAGTTAAAGATTTTGTTAAAGTTGTGGGAACGTTTTTAAAAATAAACAACGTAAAAGCGCTGGGTTTTACTGAATACTATATTGGCATTGAATGAGCCTCCGCCCACAGCCAATTTAAAATAGTAGATACTGTGTTATTTTTAATTACAGGGAACCTACTTGTGGCCGAATTGGTGCGGAACCATACAGGAAATGTTCGGTGTTCGCTTGTTTTATATTTTATTTTGAAAAAAAAAAATCTAATTTCCCTCGGGAGGAATTAAACCAGATGTCAGAAGAAATAAAACCGCTCGGTTGCAACAGGAGCGTCGCAAAGATTCTAATGTCCCAGCGCAGACACACGGCTGCCCGGATAATTGGCCACAATTTTCTACCCGTGAAGTCAATTTGTAAAGGAAATGTTTTCTTTGTCAGTGATGGCTGAGCCTGTCTTCCAGTCTTCCAGTCCCGTGAGACGATTTTGTAATAAACATCAGCTCTCTTTTGTTTGTTTTTTCCCTCCACGTTTTGAAGAGTAGTTTTCTCCTGAAGACTCTGATTTAGCAGGTCACCTGGTGTCCCGAAGAAAGGTTCCTCTCCTAGCAGTTTTATACAGAATGCAGAGCTCTTGACAATACATCTGGAAGTTAATGTTTTCCAATTGTCCCTTAATTTTAACATATAGTCCTTTAATAACGTTTGTCATAAGTATTTTGCACAGTTTGAAGCTAAAAGGCTGAACATGATGGACGACGCCTGTATCTGTATTTTCATACATTGATACAATGGAAGGTTAAACGCATGTTTACAAATAGAGATTGCACGAAACTATTTGCATGGAAACTATCGTTGACTAAGGGCGGGAAATTTATTTTGAAATCATTAATGGTTCTTGGATATATACAGTTTATATAACAACAGCAGTGGTTGTATTTTGTTGATGTTATCTTAAGTTCAATTATTCAATATCGGGCTTTGAAGCTGCTTGTTTGGTTTGCTATCCGGGATGCCTTCTGTCTAGTGTAATCGAAGTGGTATTTTTAATGTTAAAACGTGTCTTCATAATACAAGATTTGAGGTTGGTTCCCTTGTACTTCTGGAAAAAAGACGGTACAATTTAGTTACGATAAATTGAATACTATAAATAATCATTTCGTTATAATCTGTGAATTAGTTTTTGCTACGTCATTTAATTATAACAACCTTAATTATATATATAGCGCCTTTCGCGGTAGAAAACTGCAAGATATTAAGAGAATGTTGATCGTTTTAGAGAGCACAGAGTGTAGCTGAATAATGATGATGATGATGATGATGATGAGTGACTAGTTAAGACAGAAAACAGTTTAATTCCAGCTCTTCTTCGGATGCGTGATTAAATCTGTTCTCAGATCGCTGTCCCATTACAAGACGGGTTAATAGGATTTTCCACATGGTCACCGCGGGGGATTCTGTCAGGCCCCGTACTGCAGATCAGAACTGCGAGCACTGCAGCTACGACCTGTCGTGTTGTTGTTTGTGCTCTATGCGATTAGTATCCCGTTCCGCACAGTTTCAAGAAAAGCCTTAAGACACACCAGGCAGTTTCTCAGGCAGGCAGTCCTCAGTGATATAACTAATGAAATTACAAAGTTCACAAATAAGGAAATTTTGAGGAAAGAATGGTAAATTATGATTATACATACAGAAATCTCATGCACTTTAAATACATGACGGATTTAATTAGGGGGCCCACATGGGTTTCGTAGAATGTTTCGACCGAACTACACAAATTGGGGGTTAAGAGTCGAGCTCTTAGAGTTGTCGGCGACTTTAATCTGCTCCGGATGACATCCCGTGATTGACTACAGGGTGAGGAGGAGGACGACGACGAACCTCATCCAGAATCCTCACATTTCTCTACAGGGTCCATAGCCCGAGTCCTTCTGTTTTCTGATGCTTTCCTTAATCGCAAACAAATGGCAGGAATAAAAAATGCGGTTCCGTTTACGGGAGAAATGCAAAATGAAATGAATGAATCGAAAATTATGCAAAATTAATATAAATCGGATTGTTCGAAAGTTTATTTGGATTTGTATCCATATCGCGGTTATTCAAATTCACCGTCTAAAGCGCCAAGACCAACACAAAATCAAAAGACTAGGCGGATTTGTGCGTTAAGGTGAGGCATGAGTGCGTGAATTAGCAAGGGGCCTCGGCTTGTTTTAGAAAAGTAACTCACCTCAGCCAAACTTCATTTGATGAAGATATTATAATCGTCGTTTTTGGTAATTATTTTTACAACTAGAGAATTTCAAGCTATTATAAAGCAGCACAAAAGACAGTTGAAAACAAACGAAGATAATTGTGGAATAATAAAATTAATTATTATTGTTGCCTGTTCCGTCCTTATTATACGCGCTATTCCCATTTTTTTGGCTTTAATTAGTAAAAAGCTTCTCAGCCGTGCATAAAAAGCCATACACGGATAGGTACCGGCTGTGTAAAGAAGGCTAATTTTCATCAAGGAATGGGACAAGAGGAAAAAGAGCCACAAAGCGGTTAAACACACAGGGGTACACAAGGGTCACTTCCTTTCAATCTGGTAACCCCGGGGAGGTAATAATCCCGGGATAATTAGGAGTCTATCCGTGCGGCGCTGAGACCGTTTCTAGTAGATTAAACTCCAATAGAGCGCCTCGCCTGCGCGCACAAAGTCCGTGGGAGTTTCGTGAGACGGTCTCTGACTCGCCCTGTGATTGTGTTCCCAGGAAATGATGTTTCCCAGGACGGGCTGTTGCTGCACGGCCCCTTTGCCAGGAAACCCAAACGGATCCGGACCGCCTTTTCCCCGTCTCAGCTCCTGCGGCTAGAGAGAGCCTTCGAGAAGAACCATTATGTGGTGGGGGCCGAGAGGAAGCAGCTAGCCAACAGCCTCAGCCTCTCCGAAACCCAGGTAATCCTGGTCACTCTGGTCAACAGCCATTAATAACATTGGAACAAGTAATAGGTGTATTCCATGCTGAAAAGAGAAGAAAGAAAACACAACGTTTCGGCTGTGGAGCGTTCTCCGGGTGTGAAGAACACGAAACGTTGTGTTTTTCTTTCTCTTTTCGGCATGGAATAAACCTATTGCTTGTTCCTCTGCAGCCTACGCATGTTGACGCAGCTACCCACCTGAACTACTAATAAAAATGGTCTGTAGTGTTTTTCACAAAGCACTTGTCGTGATCGCAAAGTTGTGTGTGTTTTCACATAAGAATCTATACGACAACCGATCAAAACATTTAGCTTCAGGTCAGGCTGCAACTAAACTTCGACCCTGTATCAATGACAAATTGCACGGCTGCGGGGCTGTGTGATTCATAGACGTCCTTTAGGTAAAGACTCCAGGTAGTTACATATCCCCACCAAAGCACATGTTCCTAATTTGCGATAGGTGGGGAGATTGGCATTTTCATAGGTTAAGATGTTTCAAGTAGTTTGTGAATTATTTATAGAGAGACATGGGTCCATTTCTGTCAGGGTTCTGAAACTGCCCGATCTGCTTGGAGCCATTCGCGATCTGTTCATCCAGGACGTGCGAATAAAAATCCGAGCCGACCGGCGCAAAATCACCTCGGAACAAAAAAGTGTCGAGAGAGCGCCCTTTTTCAGGGCTTGCCCCATCAGCAAAGACACCAAGGCCCGGGGCAGTTTGCGTGCAAACGTAGGCGCTATTCCGGAATCCGTGCGAAGTTCTTCCTCCGCCACCTCACCATCATCGCCAAGGGATCTCCAAGGAAGAACATCGTACACGTAATGATGAAAAAAATATTTGCGGCAACTACACATCACATCACAACTACACATAGCACAACTGGCGAGATTGTACACATTTCAAATAGTTGAGATAATTCCACCGTGTTCATCTCTTCTTCGTCGAAATGATGTATTTAAAAAATAACACAAGCTAGTCGATTTTTCTCAAATGTATATTAAACGAAATCCAATTAGTAAAATACTTAATAATAAAATCATGTGTTTATTGTATGCATTTGGTTTTCAGATATCAGACGACCGAATTCTATAATAGTTATATAATATACTAGTCTCTTTTATTGAGTTTTATTGGAATTTAATTGATGAGGAAATCAACCGAGGAAATCATTGTTTTTATATCATTAGAATTAATTTTAAAATGAAACCACTCTACATGAACGATGGGCATAATAATAAAAACCTAAACGTGCGAAACGTCTCAAATTGCTTAATTGATTAAATCATTACACCAACACCGTACTAGCAGATGGATCTTTATTCGGCGTAAATGGGGTCTTATTCCGTAAGCAAGCGTTAATGCACTGCTGTTATTGCCAGCTACAATCTAACTTTCTCACTGTTTCCTCTGGACACTTTTGTGAACTGGAATTAGTTTTGTACATCAAAACGACAAACATTTCCTTGTGATATGTACGTCATTTCCTCCGTTTAGACGCTAAAGTAACGAATGAGAATTAGAATCGATTAGGGGATACATACTCAAAGAAAAAAGAAAAATACAACCTCAATGTTTAAGTGATGAAGAATATATCTGGGAACACCGACACAAATTCACAAATATTTCTTTAAATTCTGATGAAAGAAAGATCACTTTTCGACGAGAAGTGCGCTGAAGTTGGCTGGTGCTGAAATTATGTCGACCAATATGTTCAGACATATGTTGTTTGCTTCCTGGTTTCAGCGAACAGGTCAGCAGGATCAGGGTCTGTGAATTCACTTCTATACCTGTCCAGAGAGTCTCTAGGGAACGTGGCTCGTTATTACGCTACTTGAGCAAATTTCAGCAGACGTATTTTAAAAATACTGTTGCTATTCACATATAATCAAGTATAGACTTTAGATATCATTGAAGTACAGCCATGTTTTCGTTATGCACAGTTTAGAATCACAAATCGTGCGAGAAACAAACTTGCCTCAAAGCGTTCCTTTAAACAGATAAATAGAATTAACGATCATATTTGTTCATAAGTACCATTAATCCATAGGCCAAATACTGACTTTGTCAAAGAGAGAACATGTTGCATAATCCTGAGGGTCTGATCATTAACAGCATGGCTGGATCATAGAAATAGGGTTATCAGACACCTGAAGAAGGCTCCACGGCCGAAACGTTGTGTTCTCTTTCTTCTTTTTTTCAGCATGGAATAAACCTATTACTTGTTCCTTTGCAGCCTACGCATGCTGACGCAGCTACCCACCTGAACTACTACCACTCTGTTTTTAATACTTGTTGTTAATAATAGAAATATGTTCATTGTTGTTTTATGACTTATCCTCTTCCTGCTGTGCAGATTCTCACAACCTAAATATTAGAGCCCAAATACTGGGCAATATGCTGTGGTGGTGGTCAGTACTGGTGCCTCACAGCCCCTGGGTCCCTGCACTCATGTGGACTTTCTCCAGGCATGCCAGTTTCCTCCCACCCCTCATAAACTTGCTAGGTGAATAGGTGTTTCAGAATGGCCTGTCTGTATGTGACCCCAACATTGGGCTGAATTCCCATCCAGCGGAGGAGACCAGATTGTATCCTGTGCCTCCAGAATAGGCTCTGGGCAATCAGTGAAGAATCACTGGAGCTATTAAGAGTACTTTGAATGGATGTGAGTGAAAGAAGATCTTTCTTTCCTTACAGACAAGGCACAGGGTTCACAAGGAATATAAATATACCCATGACCTGAAGACCTGGAACAATTTAGTGATTCATTTAAGATATTGAGCAATTCAGGGGGTCCAACCATCAGGATGCACTTTGGTTTTATATCACCAGCTTTTTCCAGATCATTTGGATGATATTGCCTCTGCAACGCACATGAGGTGAACAGGCTACGATCTGAGCAAGCCCTGGTCTTGACCGTGAGTTTGATAAGTAGCCAGCAGATGGCGTGCTGTATTTTGGCTCAGTATAACCACCTTGCGCTGTAAGAGGTGCTGTGTGTCCCAGCTATCAGCTAGAGTTTCTGTCCAAACCAATTATGGGAGTGAAAATGTAGTGCTCACCCTCTTATTTAGGGAAGTCAGATAAAAGTAACAAGGGTAATAATACACTTATTGCTTTTAAAGCTGGTTGTGTCCAGGAAAATATTTCCTATCAGTTTTTTAAAGTGTCAGTAAAATATAAATTGTAGTAGTTCAGGTGGGTAGCTGCGTCAGCATTCGTAGGCTGCAAAGGAACAAGTAATAGGTTTATTCCATGCTGAAATGAGAAGAAAGAGAACACAACGTTTCGTGTTCTTCACACCCGGAGAAGGTTCCACAGCCGAAACGTTGTGTTTTCTTTCTTCTCTTCAGGTGTCAAAATATAAATTGTGCAAAATATAAAATATAAATATTTTTAATATACAAAATATAAGCTGTGCAAATCTAGAAGACATGTTAGATTCACACAAAGCACTACATTTCAAGCATATAGGCTGTATATAATGCAGGATATTTTAAGCAAAGTGATATTGCATACTTGATTAATTATTTAAATGTTGTAAGTGCCATCTATGTTCATAATATTTTCCAACAAAACTGAACAATAATTCTAAAAATGTTACTGCTGGATTGTCAAAGGAGCTCTGAGAGAACTCAGAACAACTTTCTGTCTGCTATGGCAGTTTGACAGTTGTGTTAAAAATGGACAATATTTTCAGTTCCAGAAAGTTATTGTCAGCTGCACAAAACCCCAAACCAAAGTTTCTTTTCACTGGATTTCACTGATACTGAAGACCTGAGCACTAATGTTGCTGTATAAATGTGTCTGTACTGTTTCTCCTGATAGTACGTTGGCAAATTGGCTCAAGATCATCACAAGCTTGCCTACATATTTTCCTGCAAACAGCACACAACTCTTGACCTGTTAGCTCCTTCCATGCTTTTTCTTTGAGATGAACACTTCCACAGTTTTCCCAGTCATTCATGAACATGCCTGCCTATACTTAACTGTGTTAGTGAAAGGCTTCAGGCTGCCACTCCACCACTGCGCCATCTTCTCCAAGACAACTTTCAACTGTTTCTTTTGATGCAGTGAGATCTGATGTAGGAAAGGAAGCTGATTATGAAAGGACCAGTATTGCACCCTCAAACAATCAGTCTACATCATGCTGTTGTTTCCTTCTGCCTTCCTCAGTCACTTTTAATTGTACTCAGTCCTGGTACAGCTGAGCTCAGAGGGGAGTACCGTTTTTTCTGGGTGTGTTGCTGGAGATCCAAACTCCTTGTTGCAATCTCCTCACACATACCGTCTTCCTAGATTTTCATCTCTCCCAGCTCTCACCTGAACTCTCTCCACTGCAGGGGGCACTATTTTTTTGAGATTAAGTTAAAATACCTGAAAGAGTTTTCCATATTTTCCTTAAAGAAATTGATTTTGTCGTCATAAACTGCAGTCTGTTTTTTTTATGTCTGTGATTATCATTGGTGCCCCATATGAGCAAATAATATATGACATATATATACTAGATATCCCCTTTATACTTTTGGGGAAATTAAAACTCTACATCTCTTGGGTTTCTGAGTGGACCTGAAGTGTCAGACAGACATTTTCATGCACCATTTGCAGTAAGCGATGTCATAAATCCAGTTTGTTCCCCTAGAAGGACTGAGCCAAGACTGAGGGTCCCTGGTGCGTGAGTGAGCCCTCTCACCCTCCTGTCCTCCTCTTTCCCCAGGTGAAGGTGTGGTTCCAGAACAGGAGGACCAAGTACAAGCGCCAGAAGCTGGAGGAGGAGGGCCCAGAGTGCCAGCAGAAGAAGAAGGGCACCCATCACATCAACAGGTGGAGAATCGCCACCAAACAGGCCAGCTCTGAGGACATTGACGTCACGTCCGATGACTAGCCCCTGCTCTCGCTTCCTGCCGGCAGCACTCTATTTATTATGTCATATTATTAGATATAAAGAGATATATTGAAGAACAAAAGCAATGGCAGAATCTGTCATTTGCAGAGGTTTTAAGCTCATTTTGTTTAATGAACTGGAGAGGATTTTCTCCGTATGGGAAAAGATGGACTTGGGAACACAGCAGAGCTCTCTTGGATGAAGCAAGAAGGTGTGGACTGCTATAATACTGACAGTAAAGACAGGGGGAGTTTTGTGTGTCTTGTTCTTTTCCGCTTTGCATAGGTAACTGTGCAGCACCTTGTACATTCACAGCCAATCTGCAGTAAATCCCTGCAAGCTGTTCGGGTCCATCCAGACTTATACTGAAAATCCACTCAAGACATCCCTTGCTCCTTCTTCTCCACAGCCTTCACCCGCCTGCCCTTGATGTCTGTCTAGAAAGAATCCTCCTGTGTGTGTGTCAAATACCCAGTGCTTGTCAAGAGAAGTCCCTGGGTGGCGCACAGACAACAGGGTCTTTGCAGTGTTGGCATTTAGATTTTGTCCTTGGAGTTGGGGGGAGTCCATGGTCTTTGCAAGGAAGCTGCCGTTTTGCACAAATGTTTTATAAACCCAAACATCTTGTATAAAATGAATCCCAGTAAACTAGCTGTTAAGAAGAAGGAGGTGCTGAGTGCTCTTCATCGATCGTCAGGCTGTGGCTGCTGTGTGCGATTTACACATCTCTGCCTGGACTAAAGGATTGACAGTAATGCCTTTTCGTGGTTACTCTGACCTAACAGATTGAGAGAGAACTTTATATTTATTTCCCTTTCTTTCTGTGCGGAGCTTGGTGTAGGTTTAGGCACTGCTGTGGGTTTGCAGTGATGTCCCAGTTTGCAGGTTATGAGCAGCAAAAAAACATGAGCTGCTCAAGCCCATATGGACACACACTCTGACTGGAAGTCAGAACATCAGAAAGGTCTGCAAATCGGAGGAGTCATTCGGCCAATCTTGCTTGTCTGGTAATTTAGTAGCCAAGTGAATATAAAATTTCATCCTGCAGTTTCTAAAAGGTGCCCAGGTTTGGACCTCAACCACAGAGCTTCCACTGGTGTTCCAGACACCCACTACTCTTTGAGTAACGAAGGCCAGAGCTCAGACTCATGATGCCTCATTTTACTCACTACTGGATGCAGCATGAAGTAATGACAGTGAAGGCAATTCTGGTTCTAATCAGTAGATACACTTTTTAATATACTTGTGCATGCATAGGAATCTTAGAGTAGTAGTTGCAATGCAGTAGTTGTAATGAATTATGCATATGCAAATTATCTAGCTATTTACAACATGACAGGAGATGGAACTTATAACTTTTTATTCTATCTTTATTCACTTCCCAGTAGAAAGCTTAAGTTTGCAGCCAAAGATAACTGTTTCGTCCTTGTTAAGACTCATTGGCGCAACACAGTTAACTATACAGTATGTAATTGCACAGAGACCCATGCCGACAGTGGAATTCGAGGGACTACAGAGATACAAACCCATCACACGTGTCCACAGCTCCTTCACTGACTTGAGCTGAATGTCCAGCTAGAATTCCCCTAGCCTGGCCCTTGTCTTTCTGCAGAGCAGGAGCTCCAGGGTGACAGTGCCTGGATTCTGCCTTCCCACCTCCCAGCCTCAGTGGGAAACACTACCTGCCCCCGCCAGCCTCAGTGAGCCACAACACCTGCCCCTCTGGGCCTCTGTGGCCCAGGGCACCTACCCCCTCCCATGGGTGCCTCCTCATCAGGACAGAATCTTTCAATTCACCTGACACTGCATTTGAACTAGACCATTGTCTTCAGCCATGTTTTGTTCCATCCATGAAGACAATGACTGCACAGCAGACCAGAGCTGTAGGTTCTTTGTAGTGTTTGCGGACAAAAGCCTGGTCTTGCTCCCAGGATAGTGAGAGAGACGTTTTTGCTTTCTCCTTTCTTGTTCGTATCCAGTGACTTCATCTGTCTTTCCAAGTCAGTATTGGAAGTGTCAGATATTGAACATAGCTTTCAAATGCAACTGCTGGAATACATTTTCCATGTAGCTCAGGATAGAGGCTATTTTATTTAATTTATAAAGCTCTGGTTAGCATTTGGGTTAGACTAACACCGTACCCACTGATTCCAGATGCCCTGGAATTCATATTTTAGCCAGTTGAAGGGTGTAGGGTGGGGATATTTGGTGTAGTTTTTCTAGCCATATAACCTGCCACTGTTTTCAGCACCTCTCCATGAAAGGTCGCAGTTTGGCGTATAAGAGACAGACAACGACTGCTTTCTCATTCTGAACTTAGTTAGAAGCTGCTGCCACTGTGTTAAGCTGCATTTCCAGAGAGCTGCCCACCATGTTTTCTCTGAAATAGCCTGCAGCACAGATTCCAGGCCATGAGATTCCAATACACAGTGAGCGGAGCTCTCTGTCTTTAAAACATCTCATTCCGGATAAGTAATGTCCTCGGTGCGGCGGTGACTCACATTCAAAACGGGGGCAAACTCAGGATTCTTTGGAAAAAAACTAAAGTGGTTTTCTCTAAAAAGGAAATGTTTGAATTAATATTGAAATGCTCTTAAATTTCAACTTCAGACATAAGTACTAACGATCTCCATCTCCCAGCAATGATATCCACCAATTTACTAATAAACTGCACTTATCTGACAAGGTTTGCTGAATGCTCATTCATCCCAGTAAGTGCTAATTAGCAATTCTAGTCAACTATCCAGCTTGAGATACAGGTGTGAATGCTTATTTTTACAATTCTGTACACTTCTGGAGTGGCAGAATTAAGTATTCACGCCCTATATCTTAAACTAGCTGTTTGACTATTAATCTAAACGTCCTATTACAGGTGTTAGTGTCTGAGCTCTGACCTTCTGAAGCTCTAGCAGTGATTTAAGACTTTCCAACACCTCAGTGGTGACCAGTAAGAGAATACCTGGGCCGAGCAATGAACATATTAGACTAAAGGAAACAAAATAGAGAACATTGAGTTTTCCCGGTTCCCAGCACTGCCAGAGACTGATCCAAGAATCAAAAGACACAGCTTGCATCATTAACGAACTACAACCCCATTGAGCAAGACAGGCTGAATGGCTTTCTCTTGTTTGGAGTTTTTAACCTCTCTTCATGCTGACAGTTACAGCAGAGTGATGTGTGTAAATAGATACACTTCTATCAATTTAAAGTGGAATTAAATTGTATCTCATAGAACGGTTATGAACATTAGTAAACATCCCTGTTTCTGTGATGAATAAAAGGTTCATACTGATTTATTTTTAACTGAAAAATTCAGTTTGTTCCTCTCTTGTTAAATGTAATGAATACATTTTTTTTATCAACATCACATTTGTTCTCAGTAATAAAAGCCCAAACCGTGCTTCCAGTCTTGGGTGCAGGTGTCCTGCCAGGTGAATCTGACCCTGGAGCCCATCAGTTGGCTGGTAGGGTAACATCCTGTAGCCTGAGTGGCTTCTCATCTGCAGGCGGAGCAAAACAAGAATCAATTTCATAAAAAAGGCATTTTGTTTTCTTAGAATTTAAGGCAAATCTTGAAATGTGGAGCCTGATCACTTTTATTATTATTATTCATAGGAATTATTAACATATCTGAGTTGCTTGTTCCATACTTCCACAACCCTCTGTGTAAACGTGCCACCTGTTCTCAGTTTTAAACAAGCTTTCACATAGTTTCCACTAGTGTCCTCTAGTTCGTGTTTTACTGTTTGTTCTGAAAGGTCCTCTGGGTTGACCATCAGTGCCGGTGAGGATTTTGATTACCGTACTTGGTGCAGGTCCTCTTGTAGTCTTCGCTGTTCAGGGCCAAAATGCAGTGCAGGACATTTCCTCACAGTTCACTTTGCACAAACTCTTCTCTGTATGAAGGAATGATTGGGAATGCAGTAGGAACGCCCAACTCCTTCCATTCAGTTTCCACACAGCAAACATCTCTTCAGACACTCTTCTGTTGCGCTGTCTTTACTGCACTGATGCTAGAATCACATATCTCCAATTGTGGCATACAGGGAGAGGTGTTGGTGTGTTTCACTCAGCAAAGTTATAAAACACTGAGGCATACCCTGTTATAGCATACTGTGAATTAAAACACCTTCAGCTGCTGGTTGAAGTTGGACTTGAGTTAGAAAAACTCTTACTGTAGACTGGTTGAACCTGCTGTGACTTACTGTACCTAATGCTGTGGCTTTTGAGACCAACAGTGTGTCTGGACTCCAGCTTCCAGCCTGCATACTTTACCTCTCACAGTTTGTACACTGGCCCCAAGATGGGCCACTTTCTAAAATTGATAATCATAATACTTTATATATTCAAATTTCATCAGTCACGTTTTTAGTTAGAACAAGTATTCTCAAATATGGAAAGATAATTTAAAACAATATTTCTTTTACTGTGGTAACACTTCATGGTTGGCGAAAATCTCTTTATAAGTCCATAGTAAACATGTTATAAAGACTTAATTCTGTATTTAATCAAAATTAATATACCAGACAAAATATATTTTGTCCAAAACAGCCAATTATTACTGCTAGAGCTCAGTTGCTATTAAGCCAATAAGGTATAAGATTAGTAATAATTATTGTACAATTAAATAAAATATTACTCACAAAAGAGGAAGGCACAGTGGTGCTGTGGTTAGCATACCTTCCTTGCAGCGCTGGGTGGAGTTTGTATGCCTTTTCTGTGTTTGTGTGGGTTTCCTCCTTCCAGGTGCTCTGGGAAAACTCACCTGGTGTGAGCATGTGCCTGTTTGTGTCTGCGTAAGCCCTGCATTGGACTGGTGACCCATCCAGGGTGTACCCTGCCTTGAGTCTGTTGTTTTCCACGATAGGCCCTGGCTCCCCCATGTCCCAGTTGGAAGAAGTTGCTAGAAAATGGATGGATTACTTACAAAAAGACACAGCCAGAGACTTATACATTCCATCTTCAGCTGTTTAGATACTGACATTTTTAGTTTAGGATCTGAAACTAGATAAATGTCATGTGGTACTTCAAAGGTGACAAATACCCAGGTCAGTCTACTTCGGTACTGAAGCCAGCCTCTGCCCCTGAAATCCTCCACTTCACTAAACACATCACAAAAGAAGCGGAAGGAAGCTATCGGTAAGAGTTCTGGTGACTCGTATGGTAAATGACCCTAAGTGCTTTATAATAGGCCCGTATTTTGGACTCAGAGCTGTTTGGTAAGGGAAGACGTTGAGTGATACAGCAACATGTTAAAATAAATACCTCGCCGCACAGCAAAAGGTAAATGTGAGCTTCATCATCCACAGAGGGCGAAATCTGTGAGCCAGAGAGATCTCCAACACAATGGGACAGGCAGGTTGTTTTGAGTGGGGAGGATATTCTATACCTGCTGCAGGTGTTAATGTGGGGCTCACTGATCTGCATTGATTCACATACCTGTCATACCGCAGAGCTGTTCCCTCTGAAGGGCGAGGCAGGGGGGCGGGGTCTCTGCGCATTTCCCACAGAGCTCTCCTGTTCCACAGCAGTTGCCTGGGCAACGGGAACTTTGGGGCCCAATATGCCAGGTGCTCCAAACAGACCTTGGAGTCTTCTCAATGGGTAATGGGCTTTTATTACTCAATTGGTGAAGCTAAGCTCAAGATTTGAGCTGACTCTTCTGTTAGTCTATGAACACTGTGGAACACAGTATATAACTTCAGTAGAGTAACATAACTAATCCTTAGAGGTCTTCAGTTTGAGCATGTAAGGTTTGAATAAAATATAAAGTTTAAAAAAATGAATTTCATATAATGGAACATCTCAGGAAGGGTCTTTATATTGTTGCACGGCCATGAAAGTGTTGTTGTTTCTCTTATAGATGTGTCGTGGGTCTACTCGAGTGCTTTTGGAGAGAAATAGTGAGTGTGCTGGATTAAATCACTTACTGAACTGTAACAGAGATGCCAACCTAAGACTCCCTATGGCTTTGAAGCCTCCCATGCTGATTTGCAGGCTTAGTGAGACAGGGGACTTCAGCGCTTGGGCTCTGCTGTCACGGAGGAGTAAAATGGAGATCTTGTCTCAGGAACCACAGTTTCATACCACACATGACATCTCGCATCAGTCCAGTAAAGACCAGGCAGAAAACTGGGAGCTCCTGAAACAAAACATTGTTTCCAAGAAAAAAAAAATAGAAAGAGAAGGCAGAGAATACAATGTGCTCTAACTCTTGGTATGAATAGTGTTTTTATCACTCGTATATGTGAGAAAATCCTTTATTAATAGTGTTGCTACCAAATATAGACTTCAGTTTATTAGCAGAATCTCAGTTATCTCCTTTCTTGCACACCCTCCTATCTAAAGCGGTGCGATTCTGCAGCAGCCCACAGTGCTCTCTTTACCGGGCTGAGACTGGGGCCAGGTTTGTGGAGCTCCCAGCAAGCAGCTGTCCGGCTAAACAGGTCCTTGGCTTGTTAATCCAGGGAGGAGGAACCAGGGAGCCCAGGTCTGCCTGATGTGGGCTGAAATGCTGTGTTGAGCTCCTGCTCCTTTTCTGTCCTCTGCAGGGGTTGAGGCTTGTTGGCGTGAAGCGTCAAGGCGTGAATCAGGCATGCCTTTCTCTGTGTGACACATCTGTTTGTATTAACCAACACATTGTCTGTTCCCAAAGTCTGCTGCAAGTCAATAGAGGATTTTAGTCAGGGAAAGGGAGTAGTGGGTGTAAGCAACACATTACCAGGCCAACGTGGGCAACAGGAAGACTATGAAAATCTACCTTGCACAAGGGGACTACAGATACACACACATTCCTCTGACATCCAGCCTTTCTGGTTAGATGGCAAGTTAGAAGTTAGAGATGAAAGGGGGACTCAGCTCACAACCCCTGATCATGGCCGTGCTCAGTCGATTCTGATTTCCATTCGGGAAATCCACATTCATGTCAGCAATGCTTGGAATACAGAACTCAGTCAGTTCTTGGAACCAGAAGCTTTCCTCTTGCCCCATACTCACCTATCGCCCAGGCAGACTTGCCCCCAGAGCAGAGTCGTGTTCCTCTGCACAAGCTGTACGGTAGCTGCCTCATGCAGTGTAGGTGATGCTATTGTGTGCTGGGACAGGAGAGCTCCATCATTTCTTAACAAGCTTTTCACAACCTCTCATAATAATTCATACTCAGGACGTAATTGACTAGTGTAGCAGAATTAATAATTATAGGTGTTGCAGTATTTTTAATGTCTTCAAGAAAGCACCATACGTTTAGAAAAGAAAACTGCATTTCTAGCAGGGGCATATTGCTTCCATAGGGCGGAACAAAAAGAAACAGTGAGGCAATGGGTTGTTAGCCAGTGGCTAATCTTCTCCTACATGTTCACTGAGGTGCTCCTTTCCCATTCTAAAACAATGGAGCCATTTCTCCAGGATGCAAGGCACCGCGCGTGCCAGGAGGCGCTGGGACAGAGGCCTGGGGAGCAGCGGGCAGCCCTGGGAGACGGGGACAGAGCGTGCGACACACAGGCCCCCAGTCAGGTGTCTGCCCACAGGGCCCCCTAACGAGGCCCACGTCTACCAGAACTTGACAACGCTAAATAAACAAATAATCAGCGCTGCCCCCCTCTCTCCGGGAATCCGATCTCACCTGCAGCCGCGGAAGGGAGAGGGGGAGCAGGGAGGGAGAAGTGCCGGGCCCTGGGGGCCTGCGTGCTGCGCCACACACTGCTGCTGTTAATGCGCCTGTCAGCTGCAACACACACCCGCAGCAGCCTGTCTTGGAAAGTGGAGGCGCTATCTGACACAAGTGAGTTTCCTTTTTCACTCCAATTACTGAGAAACCAAGGGGGAAGGAACAAATTAGTCAGGTACCTCAAGGTAGATATTTTTAGCTAGACCAAGCCAGCATCTGAAACTAAGGATGCAGTACCTCTCTGTACTTCAGGGCTGAAATGCCACATCTCCTATTAAATACAGAGTGGAAAAGTGGAGCTCTGAAGAAGGTGAACGCACTATTCCTTCAGTGGCTTTAATACTTATTCTGATACATACAGAAACCATTGGCGCCGAGGTCAAAGTTTACATTAATTGAAGTATTTTTAACCACAACCTGAGCCCGTCTCAGTGACGCTGACAGATGGGACTACAGGAAGTTACTCTCCAGGTTAATTCGAGCTAGCTGACTGTAGTTCCAGTAGGTCCACTGCCACTCTGATCTGCTCAGGGAAACTGGAAATATACATGATGATGGTTGATGAAATGAAGCCAAGTGCCTTTGAAGCCAAATGAAAATTAAATGTGCTAATTTGTTTGTTTTTGTATAAAAAGTTATTTTTATCAAGGTTTTTTTTCTAAAAAAGTTTAATTTGGAATCTCTGACATAGTAAGCAAGAAACTAAGGAGGTCTGTACTGTTCGGAAGATAACCTAATCTTCAGTCAGTAGAAAACAAGATCTGTACTTACTGAAAGGGGCATCTCTGGTAATTATTAGCATTATTTTTGGACTGAGGTCTTAAGCTGTGGTTAAATACCACATAGCTTTGTAGTTTCTACAGATACTGTGTATTAATAGTGACATATTCACTATTCATATGTTGGTCTCTAACATATGCTGCTCACAAGAGTATGAAATGTGAACAAATTGCCAAGTGGCGTACATATCTGCAAATGTGAATTGTAGCATGGTAACAAAAAAAATGTTTGTGGATACATTGCAAAATACTGAAGAAAAGCACAAAACGTTATTCACGGTAGAAATTTATTCATTACATTCCTAACCATTAAGACAACAATTGTGAGGTAATAACAGACATTAGTCTTTTCTGAAAAAATGCCCTAGAGAGACAGCAAAGTGGTTTTCACCTTATTAAGTCAGAAATAAAAAATGTAAAACAATTCCAGCAGACCTTTGCTCCTAATGGCTCCCATTATATGGCTCAGTGTGTTAGAAACTATCATCCTTAAAGGAAGGAGCACAGGCTTAAAAATCAGAAGATCAGACTAACATTCTTCTCATTAAAGGCTGCCTGACAGATATTTAGTCATTCAGATTTAAACAAAAACACTGAAGGGTTTTCCTGTATTGTTAATTAAATACAAATTTATCTCTAAAGTGTTATGGCTACTTCTTACCCTACTGTTGAGTTCACAAGGTCTGCAGCTGATCCCAGGCCCTCTCGGCCAGCTGGTCCACAAGCACCAGAGCACACACCGGTGTGATTTCATTGACTGAAGTGCCCTGCTACAGCTCCTGCACTGCCCAAAAGAGCCAGTGTACAGAGCCAAGCGCTTAATCGCAGAGGTAAGTGGGGTTTTAGTTGTCGCAATTTACAACTCTGGAAGACACTTTAGAGAGTAGTGAAATGCTTGTAAGACCTGTATATGCAAATTGCAGTAAGTACAAAACCCCGATAATGGCACTTTCTCTAACATTCAGAGCCGGGCAGGGCAAAGTGCGACTGCTGGTGACACTTGGGCTGTCAACAGCAGGAGGGGCTCCCAGTGCTCTCAGGGTGTGGGCCAGCAGCAGCGCTGAGCTCGTGTGGATGCCGTCATGGTCCAAGGGACGCACTGTTCCTGCACACGTCCCCCCTGCCTGCAGCTCCCCCCCCCCCACAGCAGGACCTGCAGCCACTTGTTGTGCTGGCTGGCTGCCAAACAGCCGCACAAACACAGCAGGCCTCAGACCTCTGACTGCACTGATAAGAGCACAAACACCCACAGATATGCTTCCTCCTCAAAAATCCATCAGCCATGAAACCGGAAAACAGGTTTCATTATTTCAGCCCCATTATCCCAGCTGATTTTTACTGAAACTATAAGACAGATAACTGAAGTAGTAGAGGAATTGTACTGACCCCTTTCCTTACAGAGCCTAACACCTGGAACCTTCTCAGTTCACCATGGTACATTTTCACAATAGTCGCACTGATGACCCCAGCAGGCGCAAACAGGGCGAGAATCAGCAGGCTGAGGGGAAATGCATCCAAACCACCTGTGTTGCTTCCACAACCAACGCATAGCAGGAGCAACACTGTCCCTGACCACAGAAGCAATTGCACAGGCCTCTCGCACAAACACATGTGTAGAAGGAGTCTCAGCTCCATGTGAGACTGATTAAACCGTCAAGAGTCCTGCTCTGAAATCTATTATTGCTGCGTCGTTAATGAAATCTCCCCCACGATGACAGAACGGTGTGCTTCTGGGGGCCCTGGGTGCTGGCCGAGGCAATGGTGAACATGTCCACTGGGAACTGAGCCCAGGGGAACACACCATGAGGACGACTCCTCAGCAGAGAGTGTCTGTGCCACAACGTTCAGCCCATAAGAAAACAACGTTGTATAAAACAACAGGTGACTATATAACGTGCACTGGCTGATATTAGCAAGTTTGAAGTGGATATTCTGGGCACCTGTAATGAATGCCTCTGGAAGAGACTATTAACATTTAGCCATAAAAATACAGGCCTGTTGTGGCAAAGACTCTACTAGAAGGAGTGAAGACTTCCTGTTGTGCTTGCTTTTTTAATTCAAATAACATTTTATGTGACACTTTCTGCCAATCCAACTCATCTGAACTGACAGAATCGTGACTGGGCTGTGCAACTCTATTCCGTTTTGCATAGACGTGTGTGTCTAGCTTAGTGTGAGTGAGAGAGAGAAAGCAAAGCTGACAGAAAGGCAGGGAGTGAAGCTGCAGGCCATTCTGGAGAGCTGCCATTTTGACTATGATTCCCAAAGCTGCGTGGACAACTGGCAGTCCTTGCAAGAGTTTCTATTCAGGCCCTAGAAAACCACCTAACTCCAACCCATGTGGTCACTTCCTTAACCTGTCTAGGATTTTAGATTCACATGCATTACTGGACGCATGTTTAAAGATTTGGCACTGACACAGGCTTACTTACAATCTTTTGACAGCGCCACTGTGTGGCCAGGCCAGCGGTGCACAGCTGTGGTCTTCAATGCTAAGGAATGGCCAAAGGCATCTTGAGTCAGTGGTTTCCTGGAGTTCTCTCTTGGAAACAAACACATAAGAGTATTTCTAGACACAGCGCTGTGGCGCAGTGCTCAGAAGCGCACAATGCGCAATGACTTCTTGAACCTTGCTGAAAATGGTGAAGTACGCAGGCGTGCCATTCAGAGCATGGATACAGAATGGACGTCGGGAGCCTTTGATCCAAAAACCTGGGCTGTGCACCTGTAAGCCTGATTATATCAGCAAAGGAGGATGAAGTGTGTCAGCCCCAAGGGAGCTGCAAGTTTTGGAACACCAACATAAGATGCTCTGACTGCATGGGTGTATTCTCTTCAGCAGAGGCTGTGTGTGTGTGAGGGAGAGAGAGAGAGAGCAAAGCGTACAGAAAGGCAGGGAGTGGCACTGCAGGCCCGTACAAGGAGTCTTGTGCCTTGTGTGTGTGGACGGAGAATGAGCTGCATTGGGGTTGGCAGTCTGCGAAAGTGTTTCTACTTAGTGATAACCCTGTGTGCGGTAGTGACCCTGAAGTGTCCCCTGCAGGCTAGTTTCGGCGCTGTTCCCTCATGGTGCACGATTCCCCAGAGCGTCCCCCGCCAGCCCGACCCTAGCCAGCTGCCCTTCCTCACAGACCCTTGTTGTAGGTCACCACCTCGCAGTCGGTCGCCATGGCAATCTCTGGCTCCAGCTTGGACACCTCGACCTGAGGGGGAAGAGAGAGGATTGGTGAGCACAGGTGATGCGTCAAAATCCCGCCGGAGAGCCCAGAGAGACGCCACGGATATGCCTGCAGTTGGCTCTGTCTGGACGTCTTCTCTGCATTGAGACTTGGCTTCCCTGATTTCCCTGCAAGCCCAAAGTACATTAAATCATTAATTGTTCACACCAGATGCACAGTGAGTCAGACACTGACAGCCAGAGATGAAAACATATTAATAGCTGACAGAATGTGAAATCATAGGGCTCATTTTTACTGAGCTTGCCTTCAGCTGATCACTTAATCAAATCTGACTGGCCTTCTGAAGCACACATTTTACATTAAAAGAGAATTCCTAGCTTGAGGTCTGAGGACTGGACAGGTGGGGGTGAAATGGTTGTGCAGGTGTCACCACAACATTATCCACTAGTCTCTCACCCTGGATAGCTGCTTAACAACAGCCTCCCTTCCGGCAATGAGGTGTAGAAATATCACAAGCCTTTATATAAGAAAAACTGCTTATGCGCAAGAAAGAGTCTTCTAAAAGAGTCTAATCTAAATAAATACACCATCAAGAAAGGGAAAGAAGACAAACAGGAAGCAGGCTTTAGCACTGCTTTAGTACTTTGGGATGGTCCCCAATTTTGATAATCTACAGGCGGCGGCACAAGAACACAATGAACGTGGTAAATTACACGACTATACTTCCTGTCCACAGACAACACCTCAACAGGGAGAGTAGACACCTTATTACAGGTGTCCATCCAGATCAATGGGAAATAAAGCAGAGTATTCATGAACATGTTCTGTGTGGCTCTCTAATTCCTGTTCAGGCTAACTGACTATTCCAGCAAAAGTAACTTCTCTAATGATCAGTCAGGTCGGGCAGATTGGCTAAGCCTTTTGTGGTGAAGAAATGCATTGCAGATTTTTTTATTGTAAATTATTATTATTATTTTGGTAACAGTATTTGTCAATTCTAACGAATTGGTAAGTCCTCATGTACATGTTTGGTCAAATAAATTTTAAAAATGACACAAGAAGAGCCAGGCATATTTCTAGGCCTAAAGGAATTTTCATCAGGTAGTCTTGGACCTGATTGAAGTATTCGACATCCTGAAAGGCCCAGACAAATTTCAGACTCAAGCTGAGGCAAGAGACATTAGAGCTGTTATTCTTTTTTTCTAACGGAAGAGAATAAATAAAAATAACTTTAAAAAATAATTTAAAAGTGAGCGTAAAAAACGGAGTACGAAAAACAAAATAAACAATAGAGTTGGCGAGCTGTGCAGCCTGCCTGTTTCTATCCTAATGAAGTGAGGTGCTGGGGGACAGCAGTGGAAGACAGGATGAGGAACAAGTTGTCAGTGCCATCTGCAGCTCCGAACAAGGAATCGGGACATCCTGGATCTCCACGGGACGCCACAGCCCACAGCCCGACGGCCTCCTGGAGTCTCTGAAACACAGGCGATGCCAGGACAGGCCAGAGGCGTGTGGGAGGTCTCTGAGAAAACGTGGAAATACTGCACGACGAGAGGCTGTCCTTGCTGAGTTGGCACACAAGCACTGCCCCCGAGGTCCCGGGGCAAGAGCAGTGCTGCAGGAGGTGCCCCTGGGCAGCTGAGACGCTCAGGGAACCTCTTTCCTTTGCCAGGGCTTGGTGATCTTGGGGTACTCTGAAGAGTGGTGGCACAGGAACCTCTCCCTGGTGTGTTATATCGGTGAAAGGGGATAAAGTGCTGCCAACGAATCGCCTGATTGACCTGACTCAGGGTGGTAGCTGTTGAGCCTAATTTTGCCCTCATTTCTCCTTCATTCCTTGTACAGCAAATCGCTTGTGTTGATGGTCTTTGTAACCTACAAGAGAGCCGAGGATTTATTTTCCTGACAAGACCTGTCCACAGAGAGCTCAGTGTTTACACAAGATGTTATTAAACAGTGGACAGTGAGTCCGAAAGAATGGTTAAAATGGTGTGTCGCTGTTTCCCTACCTGTCTCTCTTCACAACAGAGACCCATTGACACCCAGCTCTTCAGGGATGGAGTACTACAGGTCTTAGAGCTCCCAAAGACTCTTATGGAAACACCATCATTTCAACCAGATAAGACATGGACCATAAGCAATCAAAATGTTCAGGAGCAAGGAAGTCCAGAAAATTCAAGAGGGCCCTGAGGAGTGGAGCTGGACTCCAGTCCAGGCTGTGGAGGTTGGTCACAGGAGCACACAGGGAGCGAGCTCGCTCATTCATCACTAGCTGCAGTTCTAGTGGGGGCTGCAGTTCTCAAGCTCCCGAAGAGCTCAGAGCTTCAGATAATCAGCAGGGCAGTGGCAGTATTAAAAGGAACTAAAAGCACTGCAGGATCAAAAATACAGGGTGCACAAGCAAAGCCAACAAACTATGTTGTAAAAACAGTTGGTTAACAGAGAGAAAGATTTTTGAAACTCTCTAACCTCATATGCCAGACCAGAGTGAAATGCCCCTTTCTGAAAGAAAATGCATGATTACAGATAGTGACAGGGCAGGCTGGGAATCAATTTTTGAGTGGACCCAGATGTGTGTGGGTACTGGGCACTAAAAACACTTTCCTTCCCAGCCACTGACATTGTACCTATATAAAACCATCGCAACACTGTCTGAAAGCACCCATAATTCCCAGTATGTTCATCAAATGCTGAGAAATTTGAAAAAAACATTAGAAAGTAACTTCAAAAAATTGCTTCAATTTGAACCATCTCCATAATGTACAAAAGCCTGAACTCAGCAGGCCCTGAGAAAAAAACAGAAATATTTAAATATAAAAAGCAATCTCTTTATGAAATATGAAGTTTCAACCTCTCTCTTGGTCTTCCACACTCCTTTCTTCCTAATTCTAATAAAATGACTTAACATTCCCAGATCTCTTATCTAAAGAGTTGTTTTTTTATTTCTAATTATTACAAAAAATCTGGTCTACTGTTGAGCTCGATTTTTTGGAATACTACTTGTAATATTTTTAAACAGAAGCAGATGGCGTCGAATTTAGCAGTGGAATCTTAACAAGAGTCCAGTGGAGTGTGAATTGGGAGGGGTGGGAGGGTGATCATGCAATACTTTTGGGACTCTTGTCTGGAACCCTCTTAAAAGTGCGAGAGGACTGGAAGTGAAAACAGCACCTCCGAGCTGGTGCATGCTGGGAAACTGTGTGTTGAGTGATTTTGAGTGGCACATATGTTGGTTTTTTTCACCATATGGCTGCCTGAGCTATTTACAGTCATAATTAAATCCTAAACATCTTTAAACCACTCTAAAATGTTCAGTGGCTCTAATCAGCATTTCCAGCAGCACTGTAACGGAATGAAATTCGAAAGAAAAAAGCCCATTTGTTAAAAAAGAAAATGGGAGACAGAAAGTGGTTGTTAAATGTGTGAAGAGCTCAGCATTACTCGAGGCATATCCCCAAACATTAGGGCTTTGTGGCTCTGCTCACTGCTGAGTTTTAGTCATTTTCCACATTTATTAACCAGCAGCTAATTAATAGTAAAATATACAGCAGAAATATAGAAAAAAGTCAGCCAAATACATTTCACACCTTTTTTAAAAAATTGTTACTGCTGTAATTGCATTTTGTGCAGTACAACAAAATAAACAAGCAAACATGCCACTTCCTACCAAGAACAACATTAGAGAGCAAAATCGCTTCGCTCAACACAGAAGACGAGCTGTACTCTACCACACCTGTTCAAAGTATAGACATAGTCACTCTTAAACCACACCAAAGGTAAATTATCACAAAGGATCATCCCCAAACCACAGCAGAACAGGTAGATTATCACACAGGATCAACCTCAAACCACAGCAGAACAGGTAGATCATCACACAGGATCAACCTCAAACCACAGCAGAACAGGTAGATTATCACACAGGATCATCTTCAAACCATAACAGAACAGGTAAATTATCACACAGGATCAACCTTAAACCACATCATAATAGGTCAATTATCACACAGAAGCAGTTTATAACAAAATTAATAAATTCTTGCAACCGTTCAATTGGATTGCTTTTCACATTAAAATCTGCAACACACATGATAAAAGCAAATACAATTTATTCATCCAAAGTGGCAATGTAACATGGGCCACAGCTTAGCCTGCTGAAGTTAAATTTGAAACCCTTGTGATCTGTACTTCAGAGGAAGTTAAAGTCAGCCTGCGTGGAAGGTCAATGACAAATCAATTGATGCCTGACTCCTAATAAAGCTACAGGCTTTGCTTTTCCAATCATGTCTAACAAGACACTGTTCTGTTCTTCCACAGTGAAGCCGAACATGTTGGCACACGACTTGATGCCGTGAACAGCCTCTTAATGTCATGTAACATCTTCAATCAATCTACAATTTATATCAGCTGCTTCTCGTTAATTTGGCTGTTACCAACTTGAAGACATCTGGGCTATTATATATCACAATGGCATTTATTTTGACAGTGTGGAGTCTGTCTCTCCTTAACTAAGAAACCTTAAAATTACTAAAAAATACAGATAACAGAATCTCTTGAGTGATTCTCTTTTGTATTCCTCGGGCACTCCCATTAGACAGCTAATCTTCAGCTGACAGTTTGCACTTTTCCGGAGGAAAGATGTGCTCATGGAAGTAAATGGCTGTGGATCTTTCCCGAGGCCTTTTGCGTTAAGCAGTTAAGGCAGTTAGCCCTGCTCTAGATACAATTGTGGCCTGCAGTCTTCCCAAGATGCGACCCATGCAGATGCACAGGGCCACAGGTTAGAGTGAGGACACGGGCAGTGCACTGGAGTGTGGACACCAAAAAGGTCAACTACAAGGCGAGTGTGTGCCATACTGCTGTATGGCATGGACCTACCCAGTCTCGAATGACACTTGGTTATCTCTCGTCCTTGCAAACCTCTCAGACTCTCACCTGGCCACTCCTGCTGTTCTCCCCAATGTGCCCTCACACTTAAGACACCTGGGCCTGACAGGTAGACCTCTTCTCCTGCTTTCCAAAGAAGT